CCTTATTAACAATTCTGAAATCCAACAAGCTCTGAATGTACATAACTCATATTGAGGGGAAAACCTGACTTGGACTAACATGAGATCATTTACAGTATTTACAGTAACTGATTGCAAAGTGTAACCAAACCCTGCTGGGGACACTATATATTATACAGTATATACACAGCATTTCTTCTATAAAATCTGAAAAAAATCTGAAATCTGAAACACATCTGGCCCAGGGGTTTGGATAAGGGAGGGTAGGCCAGTGGTACTGAGTCCACCGCCTAGAGGGTGTGGAAGGTAGAGTAGCCCCCAAATGTCTACACCCTCATCCCCCGGAACTTGTGTCTGTGTTACGTGACACAGGAAGTTTGCAGGTATTCATTATAAGCTACAGACCTTAAAATAGGGAGACTTTCCTGGATTGTTCTATTGGCCTCAACTAATCACATGAGCCCTTAAAAGCAGAGAACTTTCTCCAGCAGGAGTCCGAGAGATGCAGCAGAAGGTCAAGTCTAGAATCTTAGCATCTCTCTAAATTCCAAGCAGGAGAGAGACTCCACCTGCCTTTGCGGGAGGGGCCACACTGGCGGCACGAGGAGGCAGGCAGGCAGCCCCAGGACTGTCCCCAGGCTGACAGGGCTTGCCGTGGCTCATTCGCCAACGACCTGAATAAGCATGGAAGCGATTCTTTCCCAAAGCTTCCAGATAAGATCCCTTCTCAGCCAACACCTCGATTTCTGCCTCGTGAGAACGGAAGACCCAGCCAAGCCATGTCAGATTTCTGACCTGGGGGCTGTGAGATAACAAGTGGGTATTAAGTTCATAGTAATTTGCTACAGCAGCAACACAAAACTAAACAGGACAAGCCTGATTCCTCCCCCATGATACAGCCTCTAGACACCCTCCCAAAGTGCCTTCCCTGCGTCCCAGCCAGGTCCCTCCTGGGTCAGGGTCAGGCCTGGGTCAGGCCGCTCCCTCCCTGGACCCACTCAAGATGCTTTCACTCTGACACCCTGCTGGCCCCCAGGCTTCCCCCGGCCAGCTCCGCCCTCCCTGGCCAGCCCCGCCCTCCCCACCAGGAAATTGACTCTGTCCTGCCTCACTGGGTGCAGTGCTTTCCAGGGGGTGTCCCTTCTTCCTCCCAAGTCCTGAGACACCAAGACCTAGTCAGGTGCCTCCCTTATGGCCCCGTAACACCTATCACTACACGTATGGAGCCCCTGACAAGCCTTAGCTCACAGAAGGACCGATTCACCTCAGTCGGCCTCACCGTGCAGGGTGCACGCAGGGCAGGCCGGGTGTAGGACACTGTCACGCAGACCAGGCAAGGCTTCGCGTGTTTCTGGTTAAAATAACCCCTTGGAGTTGTAGTGGGATTTGCAGTTTTCCAAGAGTTTCCAAATATATTATCTCATGTAATTTTTACAAAATAAACCATGAGATAAAACAAGGCAGGTATTTTTAATTCCCAGTTTTTACAGGTGAGAAGACAGAGGCTCTGAAAGGTTCTGAGGTTTGTCCGCTAGCCCACGTGAGAAACCCTGCCTCACAGACTCAGTGCTGCCACGCGCAGCGCAAACGCAACTCTGAGAATCTGGCCGAGGCAGCAGCAGGGCCACACTGCGAGCTCTGGGGACACTGACTGCCGTGGATCCGCTCTGGCAGGTGTCCAGGCAGTTAGATCTCATTGCGTCTGTTTCTCCACTCTCCTCTTTCTCTTTCTCCATGTTTTCTTACAGAAAAAAGTCTACTGTTTAATTTGAAAGCCAACAACATCTGGGTCTAAAGCACTCCTGCTTTGGGGGCACAAAAGCAAAACCTCTCTTGCCAGCAGTGTGATGGTGACGATGCAGCCATGATAGCTTCCCCGGGGCAGACGAGATGGCCCAGCTCTGCCTCTAACACAGGCTCTCCACAAGCCACTGCTCTCTTCCTCCCCTCAGAGAACAGACCCTGTTTCACGTCTCCGACAGCTGCTGTGAGGATGGAGTGAGACAGTGCATCTAAGTCATTTGGCAACTGTCCAGGGATGCATGCACGTGAAGTGTCAAATTCCTCCCCCTCGCTGTGATCACCCCAGTTACCCACACGAAAGCAAATCTGCCTTTTCACCAAAGAATATCCCAGGCTCCTGACTATGCTCTTAGGATGTGCTGTTTTCTCCTCTTGAAGCTGGCTTTGGCATTCTTTTAGGCTGATTTCATCTTATTCAAAATATTAGTGGGTAAAGACGGAGGATAATGAAGGAATTAACTGTGGGATTGGCCCCCAAGTCCTACACAGGCCCAAAGGGGTCCCTGACTACATGTTCTCCTCCATTCACAAGATAATCAGAGCAGAGCTGAAAAGACACTGGCTGATACAAATGCAGAAACCCAGTCCACTCTTATACCCCAGTTAAATCATTAACTAAGAAGCACCACCTCCTATGAGTGACTGACTCTTACACAAGAGCTTCCACAGTGCTGAAGGCACATCAACATTTGGGTTGAATTTAACTTTTATCTCTTCTTCATAACCCTTCAGAGATTTTAGATCAGACCAGTAAGGAGTGCTTTCAGATTCAGGTCTGGAGAACTTTCTGAGCATATGGGGCACATTTTCTGGTGATGATCTGTCATGTGGAAATTCATTACAAGTCCAACAAGACCATTTTATTTTAGTAAATCTATAGCTGATTTTCCTTGAATACTTTTTATAATTCTGGAAAACTGATGGCTCTTTAAATCCTCCCATGGTTATTCAGATAAGCATTATGATCACTAACATCAATAAAAATGGCTTGATGATTTTTCCTTTTATAATAAACTTTAGGCCTTGTGTAGGCAATGCAATTTTAAAGACGTGACAATATCGTTCTAGATACTATGGTTAAATTATGGCCGAAACACGGAAATCTTTACAGCGCAAGCCTGGATTGCATTTGGAAACATGCACTGGGTGACTTCCAAAGCTCCTGCCTTGGTTTCTCACTAGAGTTCTTGTCCAAGGAGCAGATCTGGAGAAGACAATCTGTTTTAAGTACATCAAAGTTACGATGGGAGTGGAAGTTCAAGTAGATATACAAAAATGAGGACTTTCTGAGATATGGGGGGCAAATCAATCTCTCTTTGGGCATTAGTTTGTTCATCTGTACAAAAGAAATCATACTTGAATTGTGTTGTAAAATGAACTTGATCCATGAGGAAAAGCTCTGTGAACGCTAAGTCAAATTGCGTGTGTTTTATTCTTTTGTATAAAATCAACTTACATCTCCACCTGGAGGAGCACGAGAAGTCCCTGATGTTTCTAAACCAGACTCATCTTCTTTAAAACCAGCAACTGCTCCAGCAGTTCATTCCTGTTTATGCTGATGACACACCCACACCCCCAGGCATCCAACCTTGGAAACATGGGCTGTGCTAGAAACCTCACTCCCCTGCCCACTGGGATGCCTGGTCAGTTCCTTTCAAACTATGAATCTGCTTAGGTCAGCCCCTTGCTCAAAAATCACTGACAATTTCCAGCTGTTCCTGCACAAAGGGTCAGAACACGTAAGTCGCCCCCAAGACCCTGTCCTGTCTGGCCTTGCCCAGCCCCTCACTCTGTCATTCCCTCTGCATTCCAGCCACACAGCCCTGCCCAACTGTCCCTTTGCTGGAACCTCCAGCCCCAGGCAGCCTCTGTGGTCACCTCCAGCTCTGAGTCCCCGGCAAAGCCATTATGCACGCCGCGGTAGTGCTCACGTCCTGGGGTGAGAGAGGCACAGAAACATACCCCAGTCCTGGAGCACAGCCATCGTTTGAAATGAGATTTTTTTTTTTTTTTTTTTTTTTTTTTTTTTTTGCGGTATGCGGGCCTCTCACTGCCGCGGCCTCTCCCGCCGCGGAGCACAGGCTCCGGACGCGCAGGCTCAGCGGCCATGGCCCACGGGCCCAGCCGCTCCGCGGCATGTGGGATCCTCCCAAACTGGGGCACGAACCCGCATCCCCCGCACCGGCAGGCGGACTCTCAACCACTGCGCCACCAGGGAAGCCCCTGAAATGAGATTTTATGTGAAGTCTTTCCCTGCTTCCCCAACTACGAAATTCATGACAGCAGTGATTCTATTTTCACTCCTGAATTGTCATCTCAAGCCTAGCACATGATGGGTACTTGTTCATTGCATGAGTAAATCAATCAATCTTGGGATCTTCTCCTCAATACACCTCCCACTTAACAGCCTCCAAGAGGTAGAGAGCACACACAGCGTCATAGAGCCAGAGACCTAATGGAAGCCACACAGCTGCAAATCCCCTGTTAGTTCTCAGGGTAATTAAATCGTTGGCAGAAGAAATACTTCACCATATAGTTTCATTATTCTTCCAAACCATAAGCCAAGCCGCAAATTACGTTTGAGCTTTTTAAACCACCTGACCTAAGAGAATCATCCTAGTTCTGAGTATAGAATGCTGTTGTGTTGAGGCAACAGCTGTTCCACAATCCCAGGCAGAACCTACAGAGCCAAGAGACACTGATGCTTTGTCCTTAACAAAAGGGGGGACCCATTAGGACATATCTAGGTCCCGGAGGTGCCCGTGTTACAGGCAGGCCCAGCAAACTGCAGCCCGAGCACCAGACCCGGCCCCAACCATCCTGGTGAGTAAAGTGGCCACAACCTGTGCACACCTGCGACAGAGGCCGCAGGGCCCAGAAGCTCCATGGTCCACCATCTGGCCCTTCAAGAGTCTGCCGGGCCATTAAAGAAGGCATATAACACGGAAAAATAACCCCGGAAATGTCTTAAAATGCAGTTTTGTATCTAGAGTTCTTTCCTCACACCTTCTCCCATGGAAAAGGGTGCCTTATACTGTTTGTGAAAAGGCAGGTGAGCCAAACCCCCGAATCTCCCAACAAGGAGTAACAGCAGGGCCTTCAAGCTGGGAGGGATTGGTCCCAGAAAAGCCAGTTTAGGATCCTGACGCTCAGTGACCCCAATACCTCCATCTCCCCCGTCATGAAATTCCGCACATTTACAGACAGGAAAGACTCACAGGCGTTTTCTGCTCTTCTAGGGGTGAAGCTGGCCCGCGGCCACGCCCGTGTCCCCCCTCTTCTGCCGCCTTCTCACACACGCTCCGAGGCTCCCGGTCACCTGGTGCCCGCACATCGGAGGAGTGTGACTTTGGTTTCAAGCTGCTGGTGAATTCTCTGGACTGAGTTTTTCTGAAGAGAAACAAATGTGGAATTATCAAAAACAGTCTTCAACAAAGACAGCTTTCCCAAAGTAGAGGTCTGCATTCAAATTACATGGAAACCAGTAATGGGTACCATTTACTGAGCGCTGATGGTATAGGCTGAGCCCTTTGCTAGGTATTTAAAGTCATTAACTTAATCCTCATAACAACCCTGCGAGGAAGGCGCTGTTATCCTTGCTTTGCTGTAAGAGGCTCAAAATAATGGTATCACTCATCTGAGGCCATGCAGTAGCCAGGACTGAAACCCGGGTCTGCCCGGCTCCTGGTTCGGAAGCTAAACAGCCAGGGCACACGGCCTTTGTGTCATCAGCAGCAAAGAGTCCCTTTCTCTCCGTGTGCCCACTTACGGCTGTGAAGTCACAGGACCGTGGCACGGAAGAGAGGCCCACGTGTCTGTTCCTAGTTCCCCGCTCGCACGGGGCTGCCAACACTTCGCAGAGGCCACCCTGGCACCCAGCCCAGGGGACCCATCCCCTGCCTCACTGCTCCCACCCAAGCTACCTTCCTGTCTCTGCAGTTGATTATGTCGCTTCCTCATTCACCACCTCCTCACTGTCACAGAATAAGGTCCAAACTCCTAAACCTGGCCTTCCAGGCACTTCAGAGCACGGCCCCCCTCACCCCTGTGCACCCCAAACAGGCGGAAGGACGCACCATCACCCAAAGCGCCATACATGCTCCATCTTGATGACCCCTCTGCCTGCATTGTCCTGCCTGACCTTCTGTAGCTGGAAAACTACTTACCTTTCAAGGTTCACCGCCGTGGATCAGGATGATGGGCTCGGGGAACCCTCTGCCTGACCTTAGTCCCAGCGCACACCACAGCCTGTGTGTCTGCCTGTTTCTCCTCCTGAACTGCAAGCTCCTGGCCCGTCCCTGAGCTCCCAGCACCCAGCACAGACAAGCACCCTCGGGCCCACTTCCTCCGGGGCCCCTGGAGCCTGAAGCCCGAGGGGTCCCCGCGCCTCACCCCTCCCACAGCTGCACTGTTCCAGCGCAAGGCTAGGGAAGCCCAGGGTCACCGGGGGACCACCTCCACACCCCAGCAGGAAAGCGAAACGGCCGACATGGTGGCGCTGTGAAAATGAAGGGAGTCGCCAGAAGTCTGAAGGAAATTTCCAGAAACTGGGAGTCACCATGCGCCCTCAAGTCCCACCAGGCCCCCCACAGGGTCTGAGAGCGAGAGGCCTCGCAGCCCCGTTGTGTGGTGCCTGGCCAGTCCCCCACGGGCCTGCAGGTTCATACCTGAGCTCCCGCACCTCCTGCCCCGACTTCAGCCGTGCCCTCTGGGCACGGATCTCATCACAGAGCGTGTCGTAGGGTTTATCGAGGTGGTGCTCACCCATCACCCACACCCAGACTTCCTCGTCGGCTCCCAGTTTCCAATGAACCGATTTGCCGTTGTCTGCAGGCAAAACAGAATTTGGATGAACAAGTGTCTTTAGCCATGGGTTAGGATGTTTTCCATCATTAAAGTATCTGAAAACCAGATGAGGCAAAGCCCGTCCAACCTGCTCAGAATGAGCAGCATTCCCAGGGCGGCGGCAGTGGGCTGCAGTACGTTTGTTTGAAAATATGATGAATGTGGTGCCCCTTTTCTAAGTGAAGATGCAAGATGGGAAGAAAGCAGGCATTGTCTGCAGTATGTTTAGGGTAACAAAGCAGCATCAGGCACCAGAACATCTACAGCCTAAGAATCTCCCTGCAACCCGGCTGCTCCAGGGCTTGGGGTGTCCACTACATTTCTAGGTTTCATTGCTGAGTACAAGGCAGCACTTGAGAGTCAGACCAGCTTTAGTCTAAATCCTAGCCCTGCCACTTAGCTGTGTGGCTTGGACAAATTATTTAATCTCCCTAAGCCTCAATTTTCTTATCTGCAAAATGGGATCTCCCTAAGCCTCAATTTTCTTATCTGCAAAATGGGAATGCTAACATCTACTCAGGAGGATGGCTGTGGGGAGGCGGTGACAGCCGTGCAGGCAGGTCCCCAGGTGTCTGACACACGACAGGTGACGGACTCACGGGAGAGGCTGGCGCCACCGTCCCTCTGTGCTGTTGACAGACGGACGTGCCAGCTCAGAGACTCGGGCCAGCCCATGAGAGATGACACGCCCGAAGTGTGAGACGCGGGGAAGCTACTTGAATAACCGAACTTGCGCCTGCTCCCAGCAGGGGTTGTGTTACATTCTCTCTAGTTCCTGCTCCTCAGATGCGGCCACACAGGTCATGTTCCCTGAAACCTGGGACGGTGGACCATTCCCAGGAGAGGGGGTGGGCAGTCCTAAACCTGAAGGCCCCAGAGGGGACTCACCAGGGCTATCATGGTCCACGGCTGGTCAAGATGCCTGGGCCTGAGGACCCACACTAGCCAGTGGTGTTGAGTGTGTGACATGGGCAGCAGCTGGCATGCAGGCCGGGCCGTGGCCATGCCACAGGAAGTAGAGTGAAGGTAAAGAGGCAGAGGTTTGGGGGCAGGAAGAAAGGGAATTAGATAGGATGTGTCAGATTTAGCGGCCCTGACAGGGGTCTCTGCTCTGAAGACACTGGGGTCCTCCAGGGGGCCCACACAGCTCCCTGAACCCACGGAGGGGGAATCATTTCCGTAAAGTGAGTGTCGGCCTGGTGCCCTCTGCTTCGTACCAAGATAGGGGGGCTAGCAGGGCCTCTGTGTAGCTCCTTCCACAAAATCCTACTGCGTTCCTAACGCTGGCAGGATGCAGAGCTGGGTGCTGTGGAGATGTGGGGTGAAACATCCTCCTGCAGGTCACCCAGAGCCTGGGAGAGAAAGAGTAGGGTGGTAGGTCACTGACTTAATGAACTTCACTGCTTATCTGCTATGTGCCAGGCCCTGAGGTAGACACGCGTGAACACTTACAAACAAGACAGACCAGTCCCTCCTTCTAGCTGGGGGAGGCAGGTGCTGACCAACTAGTTACCTAGAAAAGTCGCAGTAACTGGGGAGGGGTGTTGAAGTGCTGCGGGATGTGTGGAGGGCCGGGGACATACACCATAACCACGAGAGATTTAAGGACCACGAGAGGATTCAGAGGACGGAGGATGCTTCAGAAGGACAGGGAAGAAATAAGAAGTTCTCTGTGTTCAGTTTGGGAGGCTGGGTATGGAATCTGGACAGAGAATAGGGGTGGGTTTGGTGCTGGACACAAGGAACAGCATGACCGAGATCAGAGAAGGGAATCAACGTGGGGCCACGGGAACAAGGGTCTCCGTCAGAGCCGGGAGGCATTAGAAGCAACCTGGCCGTGGGCTGAGGCTCAGGCAGGGGGAGCAGGTGGCCGCCTGGCACAGGTCCCAGACACCAGGCTGAAGGGTTTAAATGTAGGCCCTGTGCTGCATAAAGCCAGAAAGTGGTACTAAAATCCCAGGGCTTCTACCAACTCTACGTGACCACGTACACATCACAATACTTCTCCGAGCCAGAGTTCCCTCTCTGATAAAACAGAGGTAATGCGTCTGAACTCACAGGCCTGTCACATGACAAGTGTTCAAAAAGCATTAGCTCCATGTTCTTGGTCTGAGTGACCAAGCAAGAGTCCACACCTGTAAGACATGACACCATAAAACTCCTAGAAGAGAACATAGGCAAAACCTCCTCTGACATAAATTGTACCAATGTTTTATTAGGTCAGTCTCACAAGGCAAAAGAAATAAAAGCAAACAATAAACAAATGGGACCTAACCAAACGTATAAGCTTTTGCACAGTAAAGGAAACCATCAACAAAATGAAAAAACAACCTATGGAATGGGAGAAAATATTTGCAAATAATACAAACAACAAGGGGTTAATATTCAAAATATACAGAAAGCTCATAGAACTCAATATCAAAAAAATAAACAACCCAATCAAAAAAGGAGCAGAAAACCTAAACAGATGTTTTTCTAAAGAAGACATACAGATGGTCAACAGGCACATGAAAAGATTCTCAACTTCGCTAACTATTAGAGAAATGCAAATCAACCACAATGAGCTATCAACTCACACCAGTCAGAATGGCCATCATCAAAAAGTCCACAAATAATAAATGCTAAAGAGGGTGTGGAGAAAAGGGAATCCTCTTACACTATTGGGGGGAATGTAAATTGGTGCATCTGCTATGGAGAACAGTATGGAGGTTCCTTAAAAAACTAAAAATAGAGTTGCCATATGATCCAGCAATCCCACTCCTGGGCATATATCTGGAGAAAACTCTAAGTCAAAAAGATACATGCACCCCAATGTTCATAGCAGCATGATTTAAAATAGCCAAGACATGGAAACAACCCAAGTGTCCATCAACAGATGAATGGCTTAAGAAGATGTGATACACACACACACACACACACACACACACACACACACACATGCACACGCTGGAATACTACTCAGCCATAAAAAAGAATGAAATATTGCCATTTGCAGCAACATGGATGAGAATATTATACTAGAGAATATTATACCTAGAGAATATTATACTAAATGAAGTAAGTCACACAAAGAAAGACAAATACTATATAATATCGCTTATATGTGGAATCTAAAAATAATACAAATGAATCCATATCAGAAACAGACTCATAGACATAGAAAACAAACTTATGGTTACTAAAGGGGAGAGGGATAAATTAGGAGTATGGGATTAACAGATACAAACCACATAACAGGTACATAAAATAGATAAACAAGGACCTACCACACAGCACTGTATAATTATTGTACTGTATAATTATACCTAATGTATAATTATATTCAATATCTTATAATAATCTATAATCAAATCTAATCTGCCAGAAAACCCCAAAACCAAACCCTATGCTGTACACCTGAAACTAACGCAGTATTGTAGAGCACCTCGACTTCAATTATAAAGAGTCCAGGACAGTACTGTGCAGGTGATGCCAGGACCAGGAAGCCCTGCAGCGCGTCCGCACGCAGGGAGGACCTGGACCAGGCGGTGTGCAGCGGGTGTACAATGATGTTGCAGGAGACAAAGGGTGGAGAGAAGAGGGGTGAGGCCAGCCGGGCCTGCGCGAGGGGAAGATGGCCTCCAATGGGGCGATGGTGTCTGGGCGGCCGAGGCAAGGAAGGACTCAAAGATGAGGCCGAAGGTTTGAGAACGTGGGATGATAAACAGTGACGTCAAGAAAATACATGTGTTTGAGGAGTTAGGTAGTGAACGTTTGGGGAAACGAAGAATAAACTATTTTCAATTTTACTAGAAACCCAGATGGCAAGGTTGAGCACATACCTGAAACATGGAATTGAAGTTTAGAGTGAGGTCAGGATGCACAGTGTGAATGTGGGGATTACTTTACAGATGCCATCGTGGACACCGCTGGCCCAGAGAATGAAACCCAGGAGAGACCCTCGGAAAAGCATGTGCTTCGTCAGGACACAGAAGAAAAGACAGGGGAAGGAGAGTCCTGATTCAAAAGGAAAAAGAGGGAGAGGGAATTCTGACTCCTAAATAACTGGAAGGAGAGTGGGGAGGATGCCTTGCCTCCAGGAGAGGAGAGGTTCCGACCTCAGAGACGGTCACTTCAGACAGACGGGGCAGGCTGCACGGGGCACAAAGGACTGGGCACAAGTTACTAGGGGAGGAGCAAAGAGGGTTCGGCGGGGCTCAGCAGGCATCACTGAGCTCCTGCCACGACCCGCTGTGCCTGCGGGCAGGACAGAGCAGCCCAGGCGCTCAGGGGAACGTGGACACTTCCACTGGGTTGCTGGGAGGGGAAGGAGTATGGACGCCAGGGACCAGGCCGGGGATGGGGACACAGGGACAGGAGAGAGCAGGGAAAGAGGGTGCTTTTGAGGAGAGAGAAAAGCTCAGCTGCTTAGAGTTGAAACCTGGCTGCACGGAACCACGTTCAGTTCCCAGTGCGCCTCCTTAAGGTAAAGGTACAAGCATGAGGGGTGTTAACAGGGCAGGCACTGCAACTCGTCCTGACTTAATGCTCTCCAGGTGTCCTGGGCCTCCTGCTGACTTCAACTCAGAGGACAGTGAGAGAGGGACCTGTTATAGCGCCTCCACTGAATTATGAGTTTGTTTCCCAGTCTTCGACTCACGTTTCTATGCTGGAGTGCTCTCAAGTTTGCTCTTAGGGACTCAAGAGGCAGTGCTGTAGAATGTCACACAAAAACAGTGACGGGTCACGCACGTCCCTGGCAAGGCCACGGCCAGGCCCATTCCGCTCTGACGGGGGAGGGTGACGCCGCTCATGCAGTGCGTGTCGGGCCCGCAGGGGGCAGGAGGCAGCGCCCGGAGGTGTCAGCGGGGTCGCCTCCTCCACTGAGGTCAACGCGACCCCTGGGGCTATGACTGTGCCTCAGAGTCAGCATCTGGTCTCCACTCCAACTGATCCACTTGGAGGGACGAGCGCAGTAGCAGGTGCGCATGAGAGGGAGAGGG